AGAATTGGCAACGATGCTATCTCTCTTTGGAAATTTTCGAAGGAAAAGTAAAAATTTCGTTTCATAAAATTGATTACGTTGTATAAATCTTTCAATCATTGATCATGATAATGACCACTCACCCAATTTTTTTTAAAACGTTCAGAGGTTGTATTTATAAGTAATGAAAAAGAAATCACTTGATTAAAATCGAACCTTTTCCAAAAATGTGAAGATACCATTAAAAAATTTTGGGAATTAATCCATTATTGATTTAGTATTAGCATCGCCAGAAAAACAATTTGGAATTTATTATTTTAAAAAAATATTTAAAGGAAATCAATCAAGTTTTTTTTCTGAAAAGATTCTTGTCTTTTTGGAAAATGAAGAAAAATGCAACAATTTGGGAAATTGTTTTATTAAAATATTATTTCTAATATTAAAAACGACAATGCCTTTTATTATTAATTTTCTAATATTAAAAACGACCATGCCTTTTTTGAAAGTGTGAAGAAAAAAACGTAACGATTCGGAATTAATTCAACTTTTTAATTTAATTAAACATCGAACCGTGCCTTTTTTTGAAATGTAGGAATTGAACAAAGCTTTTTTCGAAAAAGGTTCTCCTGTTGCTTATTGCGAAGAAGAAAAATGTAACAATTCGAAAATTTGATTCATTATTTAACACCACGCCCTTTTTGAAGTGGTGAAGGAAATCCTCATCAATATAAAAAAATAGCGGAGAGTATGAATTCATAAATCGTAAAAAATAAATAAATTGTTAAAAATAAACAAAACAAATAATAATAAACAATAAATAACAAATAATAATTAAAAAAATAAAAATAATAAAATAACATGTGTTCTATTTTTGTTGCCAATTGTTTCATTAAACATGTAACTTCCACTGAGGGAACAATCAATGGAATTGCTCTTTATGGAAACGACAATGTTTTTAGAGAAATTAGCTTCAAAGGATATTATGACATGGCAAACAATGTGTTGAATTTTTCCAAGCATTCAACTGTCGTCCTGGTCGGGAGATACGTTATAGAAGAGGGAGTCGAATATATTTTTTATTCTTTGATTGGAGGAGATTAATTATTTGCCTGGTCATGAAAGTTTTTGCCAGTTCCATCCGAGCCAGTTAAAAAAAAGTAAGGATATTTTCCATCTGATCTCCTACCCCAACTATTACATAAAATGCTATATATTTCATACTGTTCATTCTGAATTGAAGCATACACCTATTTGCAGCTCCTACTGGTGTTGTGGCCCAAAACATTGATGGAAAGCTATACATTCGTCCTTAAAAATAAGTTTTTGGGAGGGAAGTTATGAAACATTAGCTCTTTCCAATCCTGCAGATGTAACAGAATTAAAAAAGATCAAGGCATTCATATGTGAAGAAGTGTCAATGGTTGATAGTGACCTTTTCACATTCGTTAGCAACATCCTAAAATTCATAAAAACAATCTTATCTTTGGAGAAATACCAACACTTGTTGTAGGAGACCTAGATCAACTCCCTCCAGTTTGTCCTTCTCAAGTATTTAGATCACCAGTTTGGAAAAAAAATTTCCTAATATTCTTAACTATACCACAAAGGCAGATAAATGATGTTGAATTTTACAGGATTCTCCAAGAGATAAGAACAGGAAATTTGTCAGTTAGAAGCAAGCAAATGATCCAAACAAAAATTAACCAAGAAACTGACCTTTGTAGTTTCTATGATACCACACATATGGTCAGCACTCGAAAAGCAGCTCAATCCCTCAACACAATATTTTTTAATCACCTCCCTTTTGATGAAACATGCAATGATCCAATAGTTTTTGAATGCATAGACACACTAGAATTTGAAATATCAAATGATGATCACTCAATTGCTCAATTCCAAAACTTAAAAAACTTGCCTCATAAATTGTATTTACAAGCATGTGTGATGTTTCTTAATAATAAGCTATTTGATGAAAAATATGCAATGGAACTATTGGAATAGTGACAAAAATTTATGATGAAGAGAATGTTGAGGTGACCTTTCCTGCCTTGACCAGCATAAGCAAGGTTACTGTCCAAAGAGAAACATCTTACTTTGAAGTTTATGGTAAGAGAGCATCAAGGAATCAATTTCTTCTTCAGAATGCATTTGCTCTGACTGTTCATAAAACTCAAGGATTGACTTTGCCACATGTTGACGAAAGCATGTTTGCTGAAGGACAAGTGTATGTTGCAATGAGTCAAGCTCTCTCGTTGGAAAAACTGCAAATCATTGATTTTGATTATTCCCAATTAAAATTTACAGGATGGTTTTGGAAGAGTATGAAAGATTGGAGGCTGTGAGCATTGATGGGCTGCAAAAACTAACAACGCAGTAAAAGAAAATATTCTTTGTAAAATATTGAATATAATTAATAGTCATGATGTATTAAATTTTTAAAATTCCACACTGATGCTTGTGTAATGTGATGATTACACAAACTCGCTGTAACCTATTTAAATCTCGTTACATTTCTGAAGGCCACATGGCGCAGCAATGGGAGGTTTTTTAGTGTTTTATTATTATATATATACTATATGTTTGTGTTTATGTGTGGCAAAATTTAATTCGTCTTAGTGTTAGTATTAGCCAATTGTCCATAAGTTAGAGTACCTGAAACGTTCTCTTTCAATTCTTTTTCTTGTGAAATATTGTTTGACTTTTTCAAGTTTTCCTTGAAAATTTCTGTTTTTTCTAGATCGTTATTTTCATATTTCACGCTCATTATGAATATAAAGGAAACTTTAGGTTTTCGCCATTAGCTTTATGCCTTGTTAGAAAAAGAAGAGAGTGAATATCGACGAATAAATGAAATCTATTTGTTTGAATATATCAAATTTTGATCAGAAGGAATGTTTCAAAGATTTTTGTGTGATTACAGTAAACTGGACAATGATTTGACAGTGGAGGAGAAATCGTATATATATGTTGAATTAATGGATTTATGACTATTAAAATAATGTAAAAAAATTCTTTATCACCAAGTAACATTTTGATTTTTGTTATTATTATTATTATTTAAATATTTTTTCGGTAGTTTTAAGTTTAAATTTTTGTTATTAAAGTTTAATTATATATACTATATTCTACAAAGATGTTATGAGTTTTTTGAATTATAGTTACTAGAGTTTTGACATATATTTAATATATTTCGTTACGTATTTATTTTTCGGTAAAAAATATATCAATAATACGAAAATTATATCAGTTTGTAGCTTAAGCTCAGAAAATTATGCATGTAAAATTGATGTGGGAATTTTTTTTTAATGATTGCTCTAAAGCATACATAATAATACGCATCAAAATTTTACATAAGATCTTTTGATTCTCTGATATGATCAATATCGTGTGATTTTGGTTGTCTGCGCGATTTTTTTCGTAGCAATCTGGTTCTTAGTAATTATTCTTATTTATAGTGATTTATTTTTGCAAAACTCATTTAATAAGTTTAACTATGTAATTATTAACAATTTAACAATTTAAATACATTTAATAAATTAGAAATTGAAGATAATGAAGGAATTTATAGAACGAAGAAAAGGTTATGGGGTTTTTGATGAAATTAATTTGTTCTAGAACAAACTCCCGGATGCAAAGTATTATTTGTTTATTGATCATTACACTCAATATTTCATAAATGTGCGCTTCGGCAAACTTATTTTATTACAATGATATTTAATAATAATGTTAATCTGATCATTTATTTATATCTTATAGCTCTTGCTATTGGGGAATATTAGATCTCGCTATAGAATCATTGTTCAATTTAATCAATTGGCATACTAAAAAGTCCTCCAACTTTTTTTTTTGATAGCAATTGTACGAAAATGGATGTTGACGAGTATAATAATTCTCATAAAAATTCATTACAAGTATCGAATTGTTTCTTAGACAAGCTAGTTTACCGCAGCAATTCTAATATGAAAACGTTTTGTCGGAAACATTTATTGGTAAAATTCTTTAATATTAATAAATCCAATTTTTTTCTACTAACGATACCAACAATAATCTTTCAACGTTAATAGAATTTTATACCAATATCCAAAAAGCTTCAATATCTATTACGGGTCCTCACGGCATTGATTTGTTTTAGAATGTATGATTATCAATGTTATTCTTAATATCTTTCGATTTTTATTAGGTCTTCTTCATAGACTTGTGTTAATAGTCTTTACTTTTTGCTCCTCCTGATAAATCCATAATCCTTTCTTATCTAAATATCATTGAATAGTTTTGGTACTATTTATACATGAGGTGCAATTTCCTACCTTGTTCTTTTTTCAAGATTTTTGTAATTCTTGGGTGGTTCTTGTGTAAATTAATATTAATTTCATATTTATGTTTTTATATCGGATAATCTTATGTATCATTTAAGAAAGTAGAAACAAAATTGAAGAGAAAAGGATAAACTTTTATCTGACTCTTGAATCATTTTGTGAAGCAATAAAAGGGCTGTATGACAAACATATTCATATAATGGTGGAAAACGCAAAAATTTTATTAAATAAACTTCCTATATAGAAGGATCTGTATTCTTTTTAATATATGCGTATTTGCTATTCAAGGATCATCTTTGACAGGCGGGGAAATTTAGGTTTAGGAAAGGGACAAGAGGCTTCAGATTTTTAATCATTACATAGGTGAAGATTCCCTGTTTCTCAATGGTAAAGTTAATCCTAATGTCAATCCCCGAGGTGTTGATTAAATTTTTTTTATTTTTACCTTCATGTCGAAATAAATAACGACATACTTTAAAGATTTGATGATCTTGATCGGAGAAATAAAAATAAGTTAGATTGCTATCAAAAAAAATTTTGGTGATTTGCGAATTTCATTTTGTACCACTGAAATTGTGAAGTTCATTTTGCCTGATTTTTGTTGCAGGATGCCTCATTTATACATGCATCATAATTTTTTTATTATGATTTTGTTTAATGTTAATAATTTTTTAAAAGCAAGAGATGAAATATATAAAAAATATATTAAAAAGCTGCAAGCTTAACATGATTGGCATCACAAGTGCTGTAAAGTTGACCTTCCGAACACATTTGATCAACAGCATTTCTAATAAATTATAAAAGTATTTATTTAAATAAGTGTAATAAGAAAATGTGTTGACATATTATACATTAACACATAATTAACAATAATAATATGATGCTTACATGACAACCATATCATCAGATTTATGATTTTTTGATAATACTTTGGCCATTTGAGCAACATCAACTCCTGTTTCATCATCAGAATTACTAGTAACATAACTAATTATGTCTCTGTATAATTGATTCTTTAAATTCTGTGTGCTGATATTACTATTGGATCTAAACTCTGATTGATAAATTGAACTTGTCCTAGTAATGCTTTCTTGATTAAAGTCTGGTTGATAACTCGAACTTGAACTTGTGATTGTATTAATACTATTTATTCGAATATCATTTTCTTTAAGGAGCGCACGAGATCCCTATAATTAGCCATCGTTATAGAAAATATAAATACATACATACAAATATGTATACATGTAGTAGATTATTAGAAAAAAAATTTTTATTTTCAAAATTTTTAAATTTTCTAAAATGTATTTTTTTTAAGATTGAATGTTTGTTAATCACATTTTTTATAAAGTACAAATGTTCATAGACAACACGAGCTATATGACAACTGATCTCATTAAAATCTTCAAGAGGTTTTATTTGCGAAGCTACCACATGTCGTATATTGTTAAAAGTTTTTAGATTTCCAACCACTCTAACATATATATTTTCTCTACAAAATAAATAATAATTATCAGTTGTAATCCTTCCTACATATATCATATATAAAAATATATTCATAATAAATAAATTGCACTTACTTTATATCATTATTTGTGGTCATCTCATCATCATTATCCTGCCAAATCTTTACATCAATCAATCCACTACCATCTTCCATTATATAGTCAGTGTTAGAAGCACGAGATGAAACACTATTAATCACAGCTATAAATGTAACCTATTAAGATAATAACATTTTTGATTAAATATATAATAAAAATAAATGAAACGAAATGAAAATTACTTTGTACTCACATATCCAACTTCATGGTCATCAATTTTAATTACAGTATTATCATCACTTATTTCAGCGTTAAGTAATTGTTTAATGGTAACATGCCTAATTAGTCTGCCAGCTTTATTTGATGTTCCCTATATTAATATATATATATACACATATATAAATATACAAAAAAATTTTTTTTTCATTCATTATTTCATTATCACTATTATTATTTTATGCTCTGGGTAAAACTAACTTGTGATGTTTCATCAATATTTCCATAAAAAGATCCAAAATGTTCTTCAGCTATAGAATAATCAGATATATTAGAATTTACACTACCGCTAGAGATTCTATTGGATCCAGGTGTGTAATCTGAAAACCCATTTCCTAAATGTAAGTTTATATATTAATATATTTATTATCAGACAAACAAAAAAACCCAAACTTTTGAATTCTTAATTTAATTACTACCTGACATCATTTTTAAAGAAAATTATCACAGTATTATTAATATTATTTTAAACTCGTGCATTATTTCCATTTGTAACACCATTAGTTACACGATTTCACTTGAACATACCATAGGACCGGGACTTTAAAAAACTTTAAAAAACTTTTAAAAAGAGGTGGCAGCATGCATAGTGGAAATTTGAAATGTTACACTAATTTTTTATATTGTGCAATGTAACTTTACAAATACACAGTAAACATTCTGGCAATTGATAAACTGGATTTGAATTGGATCTGAACTTAGAGAGGGTGAAGTTTCAGGAGCAATGAATTCTGTATAACATTTCATGTAACAACAAACTTCCACTATGTTAGAGGTGGCCGCAACACATAACAGTATTAATATCTGGAATAATTACGAATATCTAGTAAACTTCCAAAATTCACGCAATTATAATGCTGATCCTTTTTGGAATAAAATCATGTCTAGAAAAATTCTATTATTTAAAGAAAAAAATCGCCCAAGAGAAAAAAACCAACAGTGGAAATGATAACAATGACAGCAACAACGACCATAATGAGCTTGATCCATATGAAGAAGTATTTTAAAAAAAACCAATAATTACACTTGTTTATTTCTACTCATATGTTGATTGGAATATCAGGTTTATCAAAAATATTAAAAAATAATAATCCATTAAATAATAATAAAATAGTTAATAGTCAAAAAGCCATTGAAGGATTGAAAGTTGCTTGGAATGAAGTTTTCTTAAAATCTGATGATTATTGTTGTGATAAATTGTTGTTGATTGATTTATCAATATGGTTTATATATCTATCATCTATATTCCATCATCATCATCATTGTCATCACTATCAACAATAAATGAATCATGGTTAAAAATTACAATTTTTGTTGTAGAAAAGCAACAGAAAAATCAATAGAAAATTTAGTATTTAATAATGTATTTGGTATCAAAGAATCTGGATCTTCTGAATTATTAGCAAATTACATAGAAACCTATTATGTTGAACATAATTATCAAATCATACAAAAAAAAACCAATATTTCCACTTCCACTTATACTACCATTGCTACTCCATTTTTATTGTTTCTTGTAGGTGGTAAACGTTGTGATGAGTTGCCAAAGAAATTATTAGAGGCAAAAATAAATTCCAAGAACAATTTATGGAACTAAATCTAATCCATAATTTTCAATTGAATTAAACAAAATTTTCAAAACATCATCACATCATAATGATGATGATTGGTGAATAATATTTTTAGTCCTTCAGGTGTGGATGTAGCAATTGAACCTTTAAAAAACAATTTGGAGGAAAAGACGGCAACAAAGAATTATTTTGGAGTAGTACCAGTAGTATTAGTAGTAATGGTAATAATAGTAATAATGATAGTAATAATAAAAAATTAAATTGCTTCAATTGGTAAAACAACAGGTAGATATCTTGAAGATATTAAAAAATTAAAGTTCATGTTGTCAACAAAGCCTGATCCAGAAAGTTTGTTAAAATCTATTAATATTATAATTTATAATAATGATTCCGATTATTTATTATTATTATGATTAGGATTATGATTATAATGATAATCAAATAAGAAAGTTACATGTATATATTCTATATATGTATATAAAATATGTATAATAATTTATTAGAAAGAATAACAAATTTGTGAGTTTTTTAATGCTGTTGCTATCATTATTCATAATTTAGTTATTATTGTTATTATTGGAAAATTGTTTCTTCATGTTTACGTTTAGATACATAAGTTCCAGGTTTTGCTATAGCATTTGGATGAGAAGCCAATTCTGGAGGAACACGAGATATTGGTGATTTCATAATCATTTGCTTTAAATCATACCTAAAAACAACAATTATTATTTAGCAACATATCTTTATGAATTTATGGAATCATATATAAATATATATAAATACTCACATAACATCTGCATCTGCAATAGATAAAAATGTAATGGATACACCAGACTTGCCAGCACGACCCGTACGACCAATACGATGTGTATAATCTATATTATCATAATATTCCCCCAAAAAAAATCAATATACAAAATCATCATCAGCATCAAAATTAATTAAAGTTCCCATCCATACCTTCAATATTTTTGGCCATATCATAGTTAATAACTAATGAAACATTCTTTACATCAATACCACGTCCTGCAACATCAGTAGCAACTATAATTTATAATTTATGATTATTAATAATACAAATTTTATAAATAAATATTTAATATAATTCAAAATCTTTATAATTATACCAAGTATTTCCATTGTGCCATTCTTAAGTTGTGCTAAAGCACTTTCTCTGTAATAGAGATAGAAAATGTATTGTTAAAATATTTAAAATATTATAAAATTTGTTTTCTAAATTTCAAAAATTTTTTACAAACCTTTGTTCTTGTGTTTTACCTCCATGAAGTGTAGTTGCTCGATACTAAAATTTTTTATTTGAATTAGCAAGGAATCATGCGAAATCTTTCATATTTGATTGGTTCATATAATACAACAACAACAAAACTTACCCCTAGTTTGTTTAATGCTCTAGCAAGAACATCACAGCCTTTTTTCTGATTAACAAATATGATTATTGGTGGATCAAATGAACCTTGTAAAATCTCCAATAATCTTCCCCTATTAAAAAAAAACAAATTTTTTTTTAATAATCGTCAATTTATTAAATGATAATAACACATACTTCTTTCTGCCTTCATCAGTTATCATTTCAACTCTTTGTTCAACAGTATCTACTGCTTGACCAGCTGTACCAATAGTAACTACAGCAGGTCTTCTCAAATATCTAAAAAAGATTTAAAATATTTAATAAATTAATGATTTTTTTAATAATGAAAGTTGTAGTTCAATTATTTTACCTTTTAGCTAAACGTTCTACTGCAGGAGGCATTGTTGCTGAAAACATGACAGTTTGTCTATAACGTTCCTTTGTACCATTTTTTTTTAACATTTCAACTGGATTTTCAGCTTCTTCAGTATCTGGCTTAACATTAGAAACCGGTAAAGCATCCAAAATTACATTTACATCTGTTTCAAACCCCATATCTATCATACGATCTGCCTAAAATTTTATTAATTAAATTAATTTTCAATTATAAATAACAATAATAATTATTTTATTGTTAAAAAAAAAAAATATATATATAACAGTAGATTATATTCTTACTTCATCCATTACAACATAAGTACACTGGTTAAGAACTAAAATACGTCTATCCAAACAATCTTTCAAACGACCAGGTGTGGCAATAATTATTTCTGCTCCATTTCTTAAATTAAAAGCTTGTTCTTCAACAGCACGCTAAATAAATAACATAAATTTTAATCAACACAAATTTTTTTAAAAAATAACAATAATGTTATTAATTTACTTACACCACCAACAATTGAAACACAATTGAACCCCATAGGAGCAGCAAACTTCATAGTCTCTTGCTCAATTTGTTGAGCCAATTCACGAGTTGGTGCTAAAATTAAAGCATAGGGACCATCTGCCATATTTTCATCACACAATTTTGGAAGATCAGATATGTATACAAGCATTGGTATTACAAAAGATGCAGTTTTACCACTTCCTAAAAAAATGAAAATAAATAAATTATTTATTAACAGTTGTTTTCTAAATTATACTAAATAATAATAATAATAATAAATGATCAAAAATACCTGTTTCTGCTATACCAATGATGTCTCTATTTTGTAAACCTATAGGAATAGCTTGTCGTTGAATAGGTGTTGGTTCCTTATATCCAATATTTTCAATAAGATCAAGTATTCTTTGTGGTAAACCAGATTCCTTCCATGACCTTATAGAATTTGGAATGCTGCCACCTTTAGTTGTAATATTGAAATCTTCTTTGAATATACGCCAGTCTCTCTCCTTCATTTCTGTTAAAGGTTTTTCTGACCAGTGTCGATCATCCCACATGGTTTTCAATTCTTTTCGCCTATCAATCTCCATTTTCTCTCTAGACAAATAAACAAAAAAGTTATTGATTTTTTTTTTATAAAAATTCAACAATAATAAAAAAGTTTTGTTTAAAAAAAAAGGAAAAAAGAAAACATACTCAGCTCGACCTTTCTGATCAAGAGTTCTTCTTTGTTCTAATAATTGATTATAGAATGATGCACGATCTCTTTTTTGCTCCTTAATATCAATACCAGCAAAATGACCACGTCCAAACATTTGAGCATTGTGTTTATTTGCATATAAAGGATTAAAATCTTGTGAAGTATCTTCGCCAGCATCCCAATCAAAAACAAATTTCTTCTCGTTCATTTTACGTATTTTACGTTTTTTACGTTCACCACCCATATAACGTTCCTATTTCATATATATAATAATATAGTTTTTGACATGTAAAGAATACATAACCAGGAAAATGTTAAACTAAAATAAATATAATAATAAATAAGATTCATAATAACAGAAAATAGATCAATTAGCCCTCTTTCTAAATTAAAAGAAAAAAATGAAATCATTACCCTGATTGCTTGTAGTTCCTTATCATCCATTTTTGAAGTATCATCATCATTATTTTTATTGTTTAGATGTTTGTCATTACCATCTCTATCTCTTCCTTTTATTCGATCACGATCGTAACGATCATATTTATCACGATCATAACGGTCATAATAATCTCGACGATCTCTACCATAACCTACAAGTATAAATATAAGTATAAATAAAAATGCAATAGTGTTTGCATATGTATGTATGTAGGGAGTAAAAACAGAATAAAAGACAAAACATAAATTTCATTAGTACTTTGTCGAGCTTCATCCCTAGCTTTTCTTTGAAATTCATCTTTATGACGTCTTTCCTCTTCTTGTTTTTGACGTTGTTCCTCTACATCTTTTTGTCTTCGCTCCAAAGCCAATTTAGCACGTTCTTCTTTAGTCAAGAATTTTGGCTATTGAAAATAAAAATAATTGATTTATATTTTGATGGTGTTGAGACCGGTTGATGTTTAATGATATTTTAATAAAACAAAGCATCCGTCCGTACCTTATTATTTTCAATTTTTTCTGTTTCTCGTTTTAACATTTTTAATGGTATGTTTTTCGATTTTTAAAATTGAATGTAATATCATGTGATTGTAGTAGGTCGGAATCACTCATATATGATAGTTGACTCCTAAATTTTGTGTAAAAAAATCATTTGTTGTAGATAACAACGACACCAATACAAACACCAATACAATACAATTACCAATTCCAATACCAATATCAATATCAACACCACCACCACCACTACTACAGTGCGTAACATCATAAGCCATCAAATTACTGCGCCCATGTATCAAATTCAAGAAAAATTTTCAAATTTTTTTT